AAAAAAATGCAATACACATAATCAATTGTTATTTGGGACGAATGCCAATGGATTAACGGACAATAAATAAAGCGAGATCAACGGTATTTCGAATTGTCGAGGTGTTGGTTATGAATGCGATTGGGCGGGGGTTGGGAATGTCGAATCACTGACATTTTGTCCGATGTGAAAGTGAACGGGTTGGAAGACGATAAAGACCAGATGATTAAAACGATGAACCGGTTGAATTCTGATAGGATATTCAACCACAGTCTGGCTTCGGCTCTCAACAGGTGAGCATTGTTCATAATAATCTACCCCCTTATCCCCCAATCAACCCATTAGATAATAATAAATTGTTATTGCCACAGCTGGACGTAACGAGAGATATTTGGGACAAAAAATTTTCCTAAACACTTGTATTTATTTTGTGACAGATACTGTGAGGACGTGTTGACTCAAACGTGTAACATCTGTCAGAATGTTTTTTAAGGAAAACATCTGTCATTATTATGTTTAATGTATTTTTATTTTTATTTTTTATGTTCAATTGGATTATTTGTCTCAGCGAAATTTATCTCCTGTCGGTTTGCAATTTTCATAGCTCTGGGCGTATCAGCTTCTTTGATAAGAGTTTTTTTTAGATTGATTGCATCGGTTATCTGTTGCAATTGCGAGTGGAATGTAAAGCCCTTTCTCGAGTAAAATCCTCGCCTTTAGTTGAAGCGTGAAGTGTACCTGGAGATTACGAATGTGAAAGTATTGGAAAGGAGATCCAAGTGTTGAAACCTCAGCTTTCATGTTACAATGGTCTTTCGACAATAGGAGAAGAATAAAATTTCATCTGAAAAATTTTCGTTCTTAAAAATGAAAGGGAAATTGAAATTTTTGTTTCAGGAGAATTTTATCACTTCGACTGCACTCTCCCCCTTCCCCGAGAAAATTAATTTCTGATGATTTGAGAATTCACTTCATAAAGAAATCCCAGAAGAATACCAGAATTCTTCAGATCAATTTTTCACAGTTGAAGGAAAGATGAATATCGAACCGATTCGTGCTCAGTTGAAAAAATACAATCAGGATCACCTCCTGGCCTTCTGGGAGGAGCTCACACCCGTGGAGCAGAAAGATCTGACGGAGGACATTTTCAACGTCGACCTAGTGGAGACGAACTCGTATTTCTCTAGAGCAAATGACTCCTCAAAGAACAACAATAAAATCCTGGACGATGAGATAAAGCCGATAGACAGCGAGAGATGTGGAGTCCTGGACACCTGCTCCGAGAAGCAGCTGATGGCCTACGAGGAGAGAGGACTGAGAGAAATTGCTGATGGAAAGGCTGCAGTGGTTCTGATGGCTGGAGGCCAGGGTACTCGTCTCGGCGTAACGTACCCCAAAGGGATGTACGACGTGGGGCTACCTTCGAGGAAAACTCTCTTCCAACTCCAGGCTGAGAGAATCAGAAGACTCGAGACACTAGCTGAAGAGAAATGTGGGAGAAAGGGATCTATTCCCTGGTGAGAATTATTCATCTTTCATTCGTATTTTTTTATGATTCATTCTGATTTTTATAGGTATATTCTCACGAGTGAGGCGACAGACAGAACGACCAACGAATTCCTTAAACGTCACGATTACTTCGGCCTAAAGGAAGAAAACGTCAAAACCTTCAAGCAGTGCATGATCCCGTGCTACGATTTCAATGGTAAAATTTTGTTGGATGATAAACATAAAATCTCGAGGGCTCCTGATGGCAACGGGGGCCTCTACAGGGCCCTCCAGCAATCCGGCATCCTCAATGACATGAGGAACAGAGGTATCCGAAGTGTTCATGCTCACTCTGTCGACAATATCCTCATCAAAGTCGCTGATCCTTATTTCATTGGGTATTGCCTTGAGAATGAAGCTGATTGTGGAGTTTTAGTAGTGGAGAAGACTGAACCCACTGAAGCTATTGGTGTTGTGTGCCAGGTAATGCTGAACAATTGATAATAAAAATTTTGGGTTAATGAATCAGAATTTTTGCCACACAACTTCAGGTGGACGGACACTACAGAGTCGTGGAATACAGTGAAATCTCGAAAGAGACGTCAGAACTCCGTCGTCCTGACGGGAGGCTCCTCTTCAGCGCTGGAAATGTCTGCAACCACTACTTCACCGTCGAATTTCTTACTGACGTCTCTGAAAATCACGAGAGAGACCTGGAGCTCCACCTGGCCAAGAAGAAGATCCCCTTCGTCGACAAAAAAGGGGAGAGACAGGTGCCTACGTCCCCTAATGGGATTAAAGTCGAGAAATTCGTGTTCGATGTTTTTAAGTACTCGAGGAATTTTGCTGCCTGGGTAGTGCCCAGGGACAGCCACTTCAGTCCCCTCAAGAATTCGGATTCTGCGGGGCAGGACTGTCCGATCACTGCCAAGAGGGACGTCTTGGCTCTGCATAAAAATTGGCTGCTGAAGGCTGGGGTGAAATCTGTGGTGGGAGAGGTGGAGGTGTCACCTTTGAGGTCCTACATGGGGGAAAATCTGGATAATGTTAATGATGTCATCCAGGGGCCTATAATTTTGGAGTGAAACTCCTCGAGATATTTCTATAACAATATTTCAGAGAAAGAAAAAAGAGCAGTTATCCCAGGAAATTTTTATACAAATTTTTCGAGTAGTTTTAAAAATTATTTTGGTAGAAATTCTTGACTTTTTAAATTAATTGTTGAATATTATTAATCGTGGTACATTCCGGGCACTTTTTACCCCCCCCGGTTTGTTCAATTTTTCCAAAAAAAAATCCCAATGACAATTACGTAATCGAAGGCATTGTCCCCTCAAATTTTTAATTGTGACATGACAAAAAGTCAGAATAGATGTTCTTCTCGATGAAAGAGGGAATAATAATTTGTCATTTTAACAGAATAAAGGAGAAATAATAAAAGTTGTGATGTTCACGAGCCAGTAGGTGCTTTTAGTTCGTATTTCCCGCTGGTGCCACCGATATCCAGGAGCTCGTCCACCAGATCCTTGGGATTGACTTTCCTAGAGATGAGGAGCGTCCTCTGGTCTTTCCCCCCACGACTGTGGGACTTCAGACCGCAAGTTCTCGCTATTTGATGCATCAGTGCTCTCTCCTCATTATCAAAATCCGAAAAAACCAGGTCATGTGTCGCCCCATCATTGATATATTGCTGCAAAGTTTCTTTGAATTTCGTCTTGAAGTGGACTCTGTTGCTCTGATTCAAGGTCACACCAAATCCTCGTCTGGATATTTTCCTAGGTACTTCAATGGGCTCAGTGATTCCTTGCTGAGATTTACCGAGTCCCCCTCCAGCCCAGCCCATGAGCTTCATCAATTTGGCACCAACATTGTCCTGTCCAAGGCACTCTTTCTGGGGTTCGTCAGGTTTTCTCTCCCCATTCAGCTTCTCATTGAAATTTGTATTGGAATTCAGTCCCTCCCTCCACTGCTCCTTCACCTCTATCAGGTAATAATACTTTCGAAGAACTTCCAGACCTTTTTCTGCAGCTTTCATCCTGGCTGCCTTCTTCGTATTTCCCTCACCTTCCACCAGCCTTTTTCCTGAGATCGATAAATTACATCGATTGATGCTGCAAGAGCAATTTATTTTAATTATAAGAAATAATTCAATGATTTAAATTGAATAGTCTGAAAATAATTACTTCACGTCTTTCGAATCAATTTCGTACTTCCACTCGGCTTTTTCTCCACTGACAGCTGTGGAGGAATCGATTATTCCCTGGGCAGATGTATTGGGGTATTGAATTAAAACTAAACTCCCGAAGGGCTGCTCGTGGTCCAGCCTCGCTCTTTTGCTGGGCCTTTTTTCAGGCTCTTCTGCCTCTGGGGACCGGGAGCTGGAGGCCCCAGTGGCTGGCGAGTGCTGGGCATTTCTGAGTCCTTTTAAGTGACAAATAATTAAACTCAAATTGAGTGAATATCATTCTCGCATATTTCTACTCACAATTTCTCGATGTACCTTTGACTTTTGAGCTAGCAGCATCTGATGCTTTCACAAAAGTCCTCTGCAGTTTCGTTTGCTGTCTCGCCCTGTAATCCTTGGCAACATCTTCAGATAATTCTGCTATTAAATCCATAGTTTCCTTTGGATATCTGTAGATCAATTGTATTTTTTATACTGCAACCTTGAATTTTTTGCAAATGGCATTGGGTTTGAGTAAAATTAAATCCGGGTTACCTGCATCCAAGAAGTTCGACATTCGTGAAAACCTGGGCGAGACACACGAGCTCATCCTCAGGAAATCTGTCTTTGTGGGCCTCGAGAAAATTTCTTCTCAACTCCCAGTGCTCGTCGCACTCGTGTTCGACCCTGTGCTTTTCCACGTCCCAATCGGTATTGATAGACATTTTAATTTTCTTTAAAAAAA